AGGAAGACGTGACCAGAGATTTTTATGCCTCAGAAAAATCCCACCGACCTCGGCTGGGATTGAACCCAGACCCATTGGGGTGAGAAATTAGTCACGCTTATCACTACACCACCGGCGCCGGCAACTGAATATATGAGGACCCTCAATTTAGAAGAGCTTCCCTGAAGCTCATAAGGCTTTAAATATCGAAGGGTTTTCCAAAAGTGTGTGGGTCTTTCCTTAATTTCTTGGAAATTCCCTGAAGTTTGGAGAGCTCCCATGAATTTCGTAGGATTACCTGTAGTTCAATCGACTTCTCGGAAGTTCTAGGAACTTTTTTGAGCTTGGAGAGCTATGTTAAGTTCAGAGGACTTCCCAAGAGTATTGAAGACTTCTCCGAAGCTCGGAAAAAATCCATAAGTGTCATAGGATTATTATTAAGTTTTAAGCAATGCCTAAATGTCGTAGAAGTTACATTAAATCTGTAGAAAATTCTGTAAAATTCGTAGTTATTCCCTAAAGATTAAAGGACTTCAATGAAGTTCGTAAGACTTCTCTGAAATTTGTAGAACTTCTCTGAAGGTTCGGAGCGATTTCCTGACCGTCGTAGGTCATCACAGTAGTTCACAGGATTTTTCTGAAACTTGTAAGACTTTCCCGAATTTTGTAGAACTTGCATAAAGTTTGAAGGCATTATCTGAAGTTTTTAGAAATAGAACTTTTTTATTGAACATGTTGAACAGGTACTTCAAAGTTGTTACGCGTCGGCACTGCTTAAGTCTGCTATTAAGATTATTTTCCTGGTGGATTTATGAAATTCCTGGTTTTTCCCGGTTTTTCCTGGTAAAAATAAATTCCCGACTTTTTCCCGGTTTTCCTGGTTTTCCTGGTTCACTTTCCACCCTGTTATTTGCTAACTGCAGCAGGAGCTTGTGTTTTGTGTAGGAATAGGAATTTGAGCGGGGTTCTCTCTGTTTATGCTCTTTAGTATGACTATGATTGCCCTGAAAAGAACCTTTTGATATGAATTTTAGTTAGGACATGTTCAAAAATTTAACTCTTTCGGAAAATCTAGGTGGCCCTGCAAATGGTCGATGGTAGTACAGGCTTAAAGCCTTTGGAAGATGATGATGACGTGTAGCCAGTTGGATCAGCAAATCGGACCGAACAATCCCACATTCTTTGGTTCAATGATTGGACACTCGCAAGCGTCTCGGCCCGTCTGCTGCTGGACAGTGGTTGAACTGGTGTCTGCATCAGGTTGGAAGGCCGCAGAACATCAGTGTCCACCCAGCCAAAGCTCCTCCCCTTTTTAGTTTTTCTCGTTAAACTCCACCCTCTCAACAAGTTGGTAAAGCTTAGCCTTTAGCAGAAAGACGCTTAACACTTTTTTCGGCGAATTTATGATCCTGTTTCACGTCATGGTTCTTCTCTATGCCTGTTCAGATAAATTAGTAGTCTTATTTATTTACTCTACTGCGCTAAATCAAACGAGTAGAAATAAGAAGTGATGTCTGTTACGCGCTCGAATAATTGAAAATTCGATAAATATATTCAATCGAATGGCTGGAAAAATCTTAACGATTAATCGTTAATCGAATAATTGGACTTTTAGGCATCCCTAGAAAATAGTGTAATTTCATATTTTTGGTGTTCCTTCGAAAATGTCGAACAGCAGAATTGCAACCAGCAAGTGTAACCCAAGAACCAAATGCGGTGCGATGCTAGTTTTCAACGACTGAATTAAGGGGCTTAGAAGCAGAGGGGTGAAAGTCAATTCTCTTCATCGATTTCCTCTTTTGATAACCATGGCTTCACTAAACTATTTCGCACTATTTCTGCTATGCTCAATAAATGTGTTTGCCGACGAGCTATTTACGAAACAGAAAGTCGATGAAGAGAATCGATCAAAATCACTTGCACCCCTGCTTCAAAAGTGTGGTTCTGAATATGGCGATGAGTGTCCAAAATGTTACGCAATTGCATCCTCCCTATTAGCACACGCTCGAAGATCGGAGGCGAACGCCACTTCGACATGTTTCGTCTAGAAACGATTCTCTGATGACTGTGTTGGGGCAGCAGCATAAGCATTGGACAATTTCTGACATATTCCACTTTTTCAATAGTTTTTTGTTGAAAATCAACAGTCGGAAGCATTGCTATCGATGTGTAGAAATATTTCTGATCGATTGGTGATAACATTATTGAAATTGGTTCAGGGGCAGCTGAGTAATTAACGTTCAAAATCTTCCATAATTTCGTTACATGTTCCATTTTAGGTTTTCACAAAGTGTACCCCCGTATACAAATCACAGACGAAGTCCTACGTCAAAAGTAAGAGGTTGCATCCAAGACACGACCGTAGATTTGACGTAGAATTACGTGCTCTGTATCAATATTCGGCGACTGTGTTAGGGAAACCACTTTTCCCCATCACAGAAACGCCCCATTTTTTTTTGATTTCAAAATTACGGAATTTTTGGTTTATTCGGTAAAAAAGCGAAAATTGATTGAAGGAATTTCTTGCTAAATTTTGCCAATCGCGAGATAAATTCGAGATTTAATTGCTTTTTTCTAGCGTCCTGGAAAAAAACCTTACCTTAATTCGAAGTGTTTCAGGTTAGCTGACAAGGTCATGTGGTATTCGGTCATTGTAAGAATTTTTATGTACCACTTAAATACTGTTACGCATTTTACCACAAACGTTTGGTTGCTGGGTACATTATCAAAGAGCTTTGAGGGTGATGTGGCTGGCAGCAAGGCGAGCGAACGTTCAAGGAAAATTAACTCTTAAACAACAATAATTTATGGTGGTCCTGAAAAGAACCGTTTTGCCGTGATTGTTGAGTAATGCTGAGATATTTGGGTGTTCATCACGGATGAGGCTGGCTGTATGTTGTTTGGAACGAGGGTGACGCGCTTGGTATTCTTCGGTGAATCGAGGGTTCCTGAGGGTAGCCTTGATAGCTAGCTGCTTGCGGGGAACCTTTCGTTATGTAGTGGAGAAAAATGTGTAGTACAACGCCACGCGCCGAAAGCACTGCGGCGAGACCGGATGGAATTCGATTTTGAAATCTGTGTTAGGGAAAGCGCTTCTTGCCTGCAATCGGTGATAATTTTAATAATAATAGCAACAGTCGCACATTCGTGCAATTTTCCATAGCGACCTTTTGAAAATTGATAGTCTCGATTTGAACAGATTCGTAGAAAAATTTCCAATCGATTGGCTTGTTTAGAATTAAAATCCATCCACTATTGGCAGAGATATAAATGGTCAAAACCTGATCACTTTTCGTAACGCGGTCGATTTTGGTTTTTTTGAAATTGCACCCCAATATGTTGCCGAAAGACGTTATCCTACACTCATAAAATAAATCACATAACCAGTGGAAAATATCCATGTGAATTTCACATAACTTTCATGTGATCCCATAATTGGAAATTGCACCACTAAATCATATGAACGTTATGTGTCCAATGAAATCTATGTGATTTCTCATATAGAATTTCTAATGCTATGTGATATTCAGGTAAAAATCATTGTTTTTGTTTTTGTAAAAATACTATGTGCGTTCTTAATAAAAACTAAGTGAAAACTTTTTTCAGTGTACGTTAAAACTGGAAAATACAAAAATCACAAATTTTCCCGTTTATATTTAAAGTGACATAGATCTTTCAAATGCTCAATATTTTCAACCGGTAACGTCCGGAAAATCAAGTTATTCCATTTTAAGTCGATTTGTAAATATTTCATGGACAAACTATATGCATATGTTCAGGCATTGTTTGGCAAATGTCAAATCCATTTATTTGCATTACAAATATACAGACTTACTCATCTAACCTGTTTCAACAATCTCCATAGCGGTTTTGACAGATAATCACGCGACAGCACCTTGAAGGATTGACGTTGCTCGAATGCAGTTGATTCTAACTTCGTTTAATGAGAGTAAACATAACATTTGAAACAGTGCGATAAGCTGTCAAATGATGCAATGAACATCACACTCTAAAATAAAACTGTCCAAAGCAGGCTTGCTTCCACTCACTTGCTATAAAACAATGCTTGTCGGAATTATGGAATCATGAGATGTTATAATAATAATCAGTAGTTGTAAGTTACAAGAAGAGGATGTAAAGTATGTGTTTGACACATATAACCTTTCAATATTGCTTCCAGAGCCTCACAATAAGCGATTTTATGATTCGTGAGCGCTCACTCACGAATCATAAGAACGCTGATTGTGGCGTTTTGGAAGCGAAATTGACATGTTTTACGATTCATACTTTATAACCTCTTCTTATAGCTTACAAGTACAACATATCATTAAGATCCAATGATTTAATAATTCCTAAAAACATTTTTTTTATAGCTAGTGAGTGGAAGCAACCCTGGTGCAAAGCAAAATAAACTCAACTGGTATTTCTGGACTTCCGATCAGATTTATATTCTAGTTACTGTGCACCGTCATAAACGTCGACTGTCGTTCGCTACAATGTTTCTTCGATAGTTTTACAGCCGTTTCGGATCGTTGCATTGTTGTCCTAAGCCTCGCTTCTCTCTTATCACACTGTTATATAACAAGTGCATTGTAACCCTAGTCCATAGCACTTTGATTTGTTGTAATTACTTTTTTTTTAACGATCGCACAATACTTCATACAAGAGCACTTCACACATATTCCCGTCGGCATGTCTGTAAAGCAAAACCTAACCGCGGCCGTAAATCTTCTGGGCTGTGACTAACCCATCGGCAATTCATCAATGTCCAATTAATTCAATGTCCCAGCGGAACACGTAACATTGCCGAAACCTACAATTTATATCCCCGTGTCGTTTAACAACCGAGGTCGCAAGATTGGACAAGACTCGGCACTTGTTCTTCGCAGAACGACGTCACACACGTGTCTTGCTGTAGTAACTGTCGGTGGCCTTTAACAGGTCCACCCACACTCATCCCGCGGATAACACCACGAATCGCACTAAGCGTAAAAGCAATCAACAAAAATAGCAATAACCACCTGTTTGTTCTCCAACCGCAGGCCGCCGATGCTGCTGCTTATGATCTCCTCCTCCACGGTGCAATATCCAATCTACTCGGCCAAACAACCAACTTATAGATGCCTTCTTCCAGCCGCACACAGCTGACTCTCCGCTTTGTTCGCCCTTCTGCGCCTGCTCCGTTTTCCGTTCTAGTACTTCGTTGCGATGCACGCTGTAATTCCAGAGACCGGGAACGGAAAAATCTTCTATTGCTTGCAATTTCTTCGGCGCACCTTGCTTCTTCTTATTTTCGCTTTCCTCCTCAACGGCAAAAACAATCACGTTGGCGCCTCACCCGCGATAAAATTTCAAGTTTCGACAAGTAACCTTCCGCTTTTAAAATACACTCGACGAATTCCGAGTGGACAACCAAAAAAAAAAACAGATAGTAAAACCTCGGGAAAACCGAAAACGAAAAAAAAAAAATGCAAATCAGTACGGAAAATGTTTTTACTTTTCGTTGACAGTCGCAAATTAATTTGACAGATTGCTTCGTTAAGTTGACGATAAATAGCACACTCTCACACCCCCGAACTTCTTACTCCCGGTCGCTCCTTCCTCTTTTTTTTTTTCTTTTTCGTGTTGCACAATTATTCCGCACGCACGCACTGTTTTTGTTTACACTTTCTCGGGCAGGTAGATGCACTCGTCGTTGCACACTACCCGTTGCGTCGGATTTGTGGCTGCGGGTGATTCCCGTCGCGGTTTTCACTCGTTGGGGAGCCGTGGGCGGGGCGTTATTTGAGTCTAATTACCGCACAGTATCGATAGTCACTCAAGTGTTTGTTCTGCTGCTGCTGCTGCTGCTGGTCAAGGTAGGCTTGGACTCGGTTCGTAAACGGCAGATTATTTTGGACAGCAGAATTTGACATATTTATCCGCGTGTGTACTGTTTTGGTTTCGGCGTGTTTTTTTTTTTTTTTCTTCTGGCTGTCAAGTGCAAGCAGTTCGTTCAGGACCCGCGCGATTTAATTCTGGCATATCGGAACATTTGGAACACGAAAGTCGGAACTGTGGTTGGGTTTTTGTGGCTTGCTCGCCCATCCGGAATATAAACAAACAAAAAAGGGATACGACTCTCGGTGGCGCGATAACACGAGCATGCGGTTCGGTCCGTGTGCGATATTCAACTGAATGGGCTCGGCGTCGCGATGCGGAGCGAAATTCGCAAAGCTTCGCGTCGCGTTCGGGTCGTTTATTTACGTCGCTAAAAATAGAAATGCTGTCATCGCTACCGGGGCCGATTGGCCTGCGGAGACGTCATTTGGAGGTTCTGATTGGTCGACCGGTTGCCGTGGTGTTGAGTGGGACGCATGTGTGCCAATGTATCAGTGTAGCGATACGGTAGGCTGTGTCTGTGGTCGTCGTTACTGGTTGGAAGCACGTGAGTGAAAGAACGACACGAACAAACTGGCAAAAAGCCGGTCTTCGGTCGGTCGGTGGTTTGGACGCGGCGTCCAGCGGCGAGAGAATGGATGAGCCTGACACTCGACGAAGCACACAAAACACTGCCGAGTGCCGGATTTGGTGGATATTCGCGACAGCAGCAGCGGCGGCAGCGGAGGAAAGCAGCAACAACCACAACAACAACAAAACAAACGCGAAAATTAAAACGCGAGAGATCATTATGATGATAATGTGTGGATTTGAGCGCTCGCGGAATAGGGTTTGCTACTAGTGCTTTAAGTGATAGTGTTTTGAGATAAGTGTCAACCTGTCAATTCTGTCAATTTCTGTCAATTCTGTCAATTTCTGTCAATTCTGTCAATTCCCATAAACCGTGCCCAAACCGACCCTATTCTTCTCGATCAATCGCCCGTCAGTTTGTTGTTCCTAATTTTTCTTATTTATTTACTAAACTTTTTTTTCGTTCTCAAAAACTTGCGCTTCTTGAATTTCGTCGTCTCTGTTGGTACTCTCTTGAGCTCCCCTTCAAAAGTGTGTTTCGTTTGTTTTTCGTTCCGAGAGTTGTTCGATTTTTCCCGTAGCCACGTCCACATTCGGAGGGGTGCTAGGGCCAGGCCCCAGTCCCACTCTCGTTCCATAGCCCTGCACCATCACCCCCACCCCCCTCCCCCTCCTTCTAACGAATCGGATTCGATGATCGTTGGCTGGAGGAGCGATGGATGATGGGCGTGTGAATCGATCGCAGTTTTGGAGCCATGGCGCACAACAGTAGAGGCTTTTTTGCGTTCTCTCTTTTCCGCTCTTTCTCTCTCTCTATCTCACTGTTTTCCGTTGGTTCTTCTGTTCTCCTCGCTGTGCGAATGAATTGCGGCCTGTGAGCGTGTGTGGGATCGTGATCTTCGCGCTTTGCATTTTTAGTAATTTGTTATGCATACTAATTTCGTTGCTTTCGGATTGTTGGTGGGTTTCTTCTTTTTTAGTTTTGCGATTTTTTTATTTTTTGCGGAGTGCGTTTTTTTCTCGTTTTTGGTTGATAAATGTGTGACTTAAATATAGCACATTTAATGACTATGGCGTGGCACATGGAAAGTGTAGTTTTTTGCACTCGGGTAAACATTATAGGACTATTTGTTTATGCTACGACAAAGTTCGAATAAAGTTTGGAAAAGTTTTTGCCATTGGAATCGGAGGTGACTATTGTACTGGGTGAACAACGCCCTCCAGCCGCTTGAATATTCGCTTTATCTACTCAGAGCTGTACCAGGGATGGATTGCTCTTTTGGGACTTTTTCATTACTTTTTAATACAGAATGCTCAGTTGACCTATCTTAAATAAGTCTAGAGATTAGTGACGTTTAACGCCGTGTATAGTTGTTTATTATTTTCCTCTGGCTAACCTAAAAAATGTATGAAATTGGATCTGCCAAAATGAGTTTGACAGCGATTTATTATGTATTTTCCTCGGATTCGTACCAATACAACCGGACATTAATATCTCTATACTAATATCAACATGACGCTTTAGTTTGATAATTTATCAACTAGAGAAAGTTCTGGAGAGGATAGGTTGATAGTTCCGCTAGAGTACGGCAGTGTGAAAATTGGAATAGTAGTTGAAATTGGACGAAGGGCTGTTGCATTAATGGCCCTTCCCTTAAGCTGGGTTTAGACTAGGCAAGTCAAATGATCAACTCAGTTGAATTCAATTGGCTTGAAAAGTTGAGCCTGGTTCAACTTTTTTCAATTCAAGTGAGTTGACCATGCCGGTTTACACGTTCAATTCGCGTTCAAGTCAGTTGAATTCAACTGACTTGATCAATTGCCTTGCACTGTCTAAACCCAGCTTTAATTTCAACTTCTATTCAATTGGCACACTGCCGTACTCTATCAACCTGTCCTCTCCAGTAAAGCTTCATGTTGATATTAGTATAGTATTTCCAACCAACTAGCATTCTATAACGAAAGGTAATTGTGTGGCGCATATCTTGTATTAAAGTTGCAGTGTATTATGTGCTGAACGTTCAGGTAATCACCCTGTGCATGGGTGCTCATCGTGAGTGTCAGAATAGGTACCTCGTCCTAGAGTCAGCCATTTTCCCTTCCTCTTTCGCCAGCCAGCTTTCGACGAGGTAAGACGTGTTTGCAGGACGATTGCTGGGGGATTCCTTTCTGGAGGATATCCGGATCTTCACAATGGAGCACATAATACACTGCAACTTTAATACAAGATATGCGCCACACAGTAATGAAAAAGCCCCAAAAGAGCGACCCGTCACTGGCCGTACTCAGGATTTTTGTTTCTGTGACAAACTCTCAGTTTTTGTGAGCTTTCAAAAGGGTTTGGAACTCGGGTATAATTTCGAAACATTATTTTCAAAAGTCTTGTTCTTCAGGGCAGAGAATCGCTTTTTAATTTGTTTCTGCAAATCCCGTCAGATAAATTTCATGGCAGGATCGCGTGTTCTTTGATATTGTCTCTTACGGACATTTTTAAGACGAATCAAGAGCTGAAGATCGTCATCTATTATAATTGAATCGAATTAACCTCGCATTTTGATACTGAGGCAGCTCCTGTTTCAACTATAGAAGCAGTCAGAGATTCAAGAGCATAATTAACATCATCTTTGGTTTGCAAAGGGATGTTTGGATCAAAGTTATGTTCCAATCAGCTCTATGTTAATTGAAAGTAGAGCTGTTGGGATTAGAAATTATTTCTTGGGATATTCAAAAAGTCACTGGAAGGAACCGAAGTCAGCATGGGTAACCAATTGGCTACAAAGTTGACATGAATCAGTTAAGACCAAATCAATAGTTGAGGGATTTCTTTCCGAAGAAAAGCATTTTGGGCTGTTAGGATATTGAATAGTGTAATAACATGCAGACATCAAACAGAATGTTACCATTGGAATTGCTTTGTGCATTATTCCATGAGTGGTGTTTTGCATTAAATAGTTCGTCCTCATTATCCTTAAGAGGTTGAGCATTCCAATTCAAAATATTTACTTATTTAAAATCCATTAGTAAATTTCAAAGTCATGAACATTAGAAAATTCAACTCCATTTTGAATAGCATCAAACGTGGAGATATTTTTCAGCAAATAATGAAGTTAGTTTTCAGCATGATTTCTATAAAAAAAAATCTATTTTTGGAGCAGTACGTCAACATCATCCAAATTTCCGTTAGATTTATGTTGACTAGAATTTTGACTTCGGTTTCTACCAGCGGCAATAGCGGCATAGGCAGCTCCATTTCCTTGCTGAACATTGTTGGATGACGAATTTGAAGCTTGTGAGCTACGTTGTTAACAGCAGAGAAATTTGTACCTGGTCGCTTAGAACGAGATTGTAGGATCGCTTTGCGAGTCTTACATTGTAGTTTTCACCACAATTTGAACATTTAAATTTCTTAGGAGTTTCATTCATGCCTGAAAGAAATCTCCACAATTCATGCATTTAGCTAGTATGTAGCAATTATTTGTTCCGTAACCCCATCCCTGGCCCTTACGGCACTGGATGAGGTTTTGGAAATTTCCCACTTCACTCGGACATGGAGCATAAAGCTAGCTTTTTCTAAGGCATTAATGTTGTTTAGTTCACTAGATTTGAAGATAAAAATCATTAGAAATCGCGTTGAGCGAATCACCAGGACGGAATTTCATTTTCATTTTGATTACTTGGACTGGCTCAACTCCAAGTAATTTTGTCAATTCATCTTTGATCTGATCCAGTGATTCACCACTGGGCAGACCTTTTAAGACAACCTTGAACACACGTTCAGTTTTGGTGTCGTAAGTAAAACATGTGTGTTGCTTCTCATTACGATACTTGAGAAGACGTTTGAATTATAGGTTGAACTGGCTGAGCGGATCAGACCCGTCCAGCTGATTAAAGGGCGTCGATTCTTTTTAACAGATCTTTAGCTCACCTTTAAATTATAGAAATTTTGTTACAATTGTCACATGCGATGATATGATCGACATCGTATAACACGATATTACGCCTTTTCTCAAGCTATGCAATCCAGTCTAGTTACATACAGATTTTATTTCTTGTTTATTAATTTATTTGGTAAGGCTCAACCGAATTAACTTTACAGAGCCGAGGATTCTTGGTCACTATACAATACATCTTAAAAATATAGTCAAAAGGTACAACACAATAAACACTTTGTCTTCCGCTATCCAAAAAGCCTCCTCCATCAGAACTGGAGCCGCTTCCAGTAGTTTCATTGTATGGCAAATTGTTGTACGCCAACGAGGGTCAGAGCGCGTCCATTGCAGCAATGGACGCAAAACGTGGTCAGCACTCACACACTCATCACGAAACGGTTGCTTTCCAAAGTCGACGACGCATCGACCGAAAGAACTGCTGATGAAGAACAATGAGGAGGACCACACAATGGTTGCTGCCGAGAAAACAGACGATCGCGTAGCACACATCGAGAGTGGTCTGCTTTTGTCGACAGTCGAGTGAACACTGAGATTTTATTTCTGATGTTAATTCTTCAGCAGATTTGCTCTCACTATTCTCGCTTTCAGCTCCAGATCATCAGCTCACATCTAGGATGGGGTCCCAAGCTGTTCTTTAGATCCGATTCATTAAAGTCAGCTGATGACGGGTCATTTTTAGGAACCGCAGCTCATCAGCTCACTGATATCATAAGTCTGTATTCAGATCTGAACATGCATTAGCGGAGCGGAGCTCTCTCTATTCTCGGCTTCAGCTCCAGATCATCAGCTCAGAT